GAGGCCAAGCTGGCCGCGGCTCCTGGAGCCGCCGGCTGCACTCAGGCCCAGAGCTCTTTCCCATCCCGGCGACTCCCACCTGTCTCCCCCCCCCCATGCCTGCACCTGCTGTGGGTTGTTTCTCCCAGAATTTCAGAAATCAAGTAGTTGCCCAAGAATTAGTCTCGCTACAGTGCTCACGAGTTAGTCATCTCTCTCCTGTCTCTCTCTGCCTGTCTCTGGGTGTCTCTCTTCCCCTCCTCTCCTCTCCTCCTCTCCCCCTCTCCTTCTCTCCCCCTCTCATTTTCTCCCTCTCTCCAGAGACTGGAGTCCCTTATTTGAAACGGTGCTGTTAAAACAAAGTCATCAAAGCACTATGGTTCTTGTCTTAAAGTGACAGCTTGCTTTATGGGGCTGTTTTAAATACTCTCCCTCCTTTTCAATGTCTCTCTATCCATCTTTGTCTGTTCTTCAGAAATGGGGACAATATAAAGCCCAGGCTGGCGAGCTCCCCACGCTGGGCCTGGGCAGTGCCAACCCCCGCCTTTAAGCAGATTGAAATTGTCAGTGCTTCATTAATCTGAAACTAGTTACTCTCCTAGACGCACAGCACACACTTCCGATCTGTACGGCTTCTCTGAGGGGAGCCCCCGGGGCCTTCCGGTGTTTGGGGTTGGGAAAGCTCACCAAAATACAATTAAGTTGGAGAAAACAGGGTTCAGGTGGGAGAAGAATAAAACTTCCTGAAATCAATGTACCAAAGAAGCACAAGCCCTGTTTCTAGAGACAATGGGGCCCCCAGAATTTTGGAGACTGCACTTGAACCTAAAGAGCCAGGGTTACAAATCTCCTATGGGGCGCTGTTAGGAACTTTGGGTTTGCTTTCTGGGCATAGGAGAGACTTACTTCCAGGTTTCTTCTGAAGTTGGATTGTTGCTGTTTCTTTTGGTTTCCCTTGTTTGTTTTTCATCTGTGCTCTCATTCAATTCTGTTCCTGAGACACATCTTTAAGTTCCCACTCTTCTCTGGCCTGGCTCAAACTCAGCTTGTCTTGGGCCCTTCAAGTATCGGCCTCTGGGCTGAAGAGCTCTGGCTGAGCTGGGCTGAGCTGGGCTAAGCTGGAGTTTCTCATCCCCCATGATGGGAGCCCTGGCTTTCTCCACTCCTCCCCCATTAACAAAGACAATACAAAAGACTCCTCTGCCGTTCTTATTTCTAGCTGGCTTAGAATAGCAAGTTTTCGGATTTCATTCTATCTAATTTAAGAAAGAGGCATCTGTGGGCACTTTTTTTTTCTAAAAAGAGTTCAATTTCAGTAATGTGAGCCTAAAGATTTATAAAATAGATTTATATTAAATTATGTTAATAGAAGCCTAGTAAATGCACCAATTAATTGCATGAAAAAAAAAGGTTCCCTTTTAAAAGGTCTGTCACCTTAACAGGTACATTCAAAGATTCTCTGTGAATAATGAAAATAGGAACAATTGCTCTGATGCAGGGAGCTGCATTCATCCTGGGGACAGCTTTCTGTTTGGGGGAAGGTGGGAGGAGCTCCTTTTAAAGAAGTGATTGCTCCTTTAAACCCAATTTCCTCTAGCAAATGGGTTCAATTGGAAGTGTCATTCTCTTCCTCAAGTCCCAAGGGCTGCGCTGGAGCTCCCTCCCCAGAATCCTCCTGCCTCTCACGTCAGTGTTCATCAGCGTTCCCCAAGCCCCGGCTTTCACTGGTCACCTCCCACTTTCCTCAAGGGCATCTCCAGGCGCGGGGCCTGCAAAGAAGGAGCTGGGTCTAGAGCTTAGTAAGGGTGCTGGCCGGAGCTTGTCCAAAGTCCCGGGTTCCAGCCCAGCACCACATAAACCAGGTGATGTCAGCGCTCCGGAAGATGAGGGAAGACGTTGTCCTTAGCTACAGAGGCAGTTTGTAGTCAGCATGGACGAGAGATGCTGTAATTAAGAGGAAAATTTAAAATCCCAGTGTTCTTCTATTTGTTGTGCTTGGGGTTCCATTTATACCACCACTACCACTTCTTAGCTCCTCCCCCTCCACCCTCCCCACACTCTCTGTGGGGAGTGGGGGGTATGGTCTATGTGTGTGCATGTGTGTGTGTGCATGTATGCATGTGTGTGTGTGTCTGGCACACAAGTGTGCATGCATGATATCTGCATTACTGCATACATGTGGTCACCACCTGTGACCACTGTCCCTTAGCACCTACCCCCTTTCTGGCAACTGTCTGACCAGTCAGTGAGGCCCACGCAAACTGGCACAGTCCTAATCAGATATTACTAGATAGAAATGCTGGCAAGTAGTGCGGGTGGGGAGGCACAGAGGAGGCCAGAAATGGAAGACTGCCCTTCCCAAAATTTTGTTTCTATTTGGAAAGGAAGTAGCAAGAATCAGAGCTCTGATGCATACTTCAAACCAAATCAGAATAAGAACTCCAGAGAAGATAGGCCTCCTGGGACCAGTGCCTCCATTATCTGGGCCACTGACCTCCAAGAATGAGCTGTTGGGTCCCTATTGCCAGGGTTTACAAGTGAGAAGCCTTGCCTGAGGATATAATCACTATCAGACCCTTGTCCTAGAGCTTGTGTTAGTCACTGGGTGAGCATGTAGAAGGGGGAAGTCTTTGTTCCTCCTCTCCTCCCTGGGTAGAGCCAGGAAAAAGGGGTGAAAGGTCATCTTCCTTGTATCCTGAAGCTCCCAGCTGCCTAGGGTTCTGAAGTTTGGATAGAACACCTTCCATGGTTCTTGCTCACTCCCCCTTTTTAGTCAAATAAGTTCCTCGTTTCTACTTAACATTTCCATTCTCTTTTCTGGTTGTGTTTAAGGGTTCTGAGAGTCTGTGCTTTGGATAAAGAGCGTTTAGTGGGACACTGTGGAAAGTTGGAGTCCAAGACTGCCTAGTAGACATTGTCCACATTGGCTCCCATGCACCCAAGGGGGCATGACTTACAGTGTTTGATCTGAAGATCCTTGGTAGACTATTTCTGTACTTGAGTTTACTGTCTGAGAGTTGGCTTAAAGCCTCTTAACCTAATGTGGGCAGTCAGATTCTAGATTCCTAAAACATGCACAGTAGCAGTCCTGTGTGCCCCCCCATGCACACCTGCTGCAGAAACATGCTCCACACAACACCAGTAGCAAGTCCTCGGCAAGAGCTGGTCATGAGGCCTGTGATGAGGTCCACACCGGCAGGGACCTGAGTATGGACAGACTCAAGCGCTGAACAGTGGGGGGCAAGGGGAAGGAGCAGTGGTTTGCCTTCAGAAAAGGCTTTGCTTTGGGTTGGAGTAGGCCCAGAGGGTGGGAGTGGGGTGGGGTGGGGGTTGGGGGCAGGTGGGTGGACATGACATGATTTTTTATCCTGCTTACTCCCAGCAAAGAAATTATCCTCTTTAAAAGCCCATCCCCAGCCCTAGTAAACATCTTTCCTCTCACTGGTCACTGGCCCTTGTCTCCTAAACTCGCATTTCTTAGGAAAAAGGGACATTGATTTTTAGGAAATAGGAAATGCAGTTTTTCTGCTCCCCTCCCAGTCAGCAGGACAAACACCCTACCCCACCCCCATTCCCTTCTGAGAGTCACAGACCATAATTTGGCTTGGGATGATTGTCTCAAATCAGTCCCAGCCCTCTGTATACAGCAAAGCAAGTGACCCACAGGTCTCCATTGGCCTGGATACTGTGTGGTCCTTCCTCCTGCCTGCCTGGGCCTGGTGTCCTAATGGGGTCTGAAAGACTGAGCAGGTGTGTGTGGGGGGTGTGTGTGTGTGACAGACTCGGGAAATGTGATGTTCATGAACAAGATGATGACATTCCCTACCTTTTCTGTTGCAGGGGAGGACTGGACTAAACTAAATCAGACATAAAAGAGGGGGAAAGGAGAGAGGGAGGGAGGGAGGGAGAGAAGGAAGGAGAGAGGGGTAGGGAGAGGGAGGGAGGGGAAAGGAAAGGGAAGGAGGGAAGGAAGGAGGGAGGAGCTAAATAATTCTTGTGACTTGAATCTATTGGGTGACTTCTTAATACAAATAATCAGTAATCCCACTGGTGGTGGTGCTGGCACTCAGAAGCCAACTTCCACAGACCCAGGCTGAGACACCAAGGCCAGGTCTTGGCTACTGGTTGGCAGACATGAAGCCCTGGGACACAGCCAGGTGACTCTGACCAAGTAACAACATCACAAATAATAAGCAAACTCCGCTCCCTAGGGAGAGTATTACTCTACAAATACCTCTTGGACTGTTTTAGAAATATGAGATTGTAAATATTTAGAAAAGACACTTTTCTGTCCCTGGCTTTTTGTTACCTTGGCCCTGAGGACATGAGGACATCCAGTCAACTCTGACTTATACAAGGCAACAGGTAAATTGTAAGTTTCCTCACACTAACCTGTTTGGTGGACTGTGGATCTCCTAAAAACTACTCCTATCATGTGAATTTCTTCACAGGATTTGGGTTTTAGTATCCAGCAAGATGAAAGGCCAGAGAAGAGGGGAAGTGACCCAGAAAGTCAATAGTGGGTTTTGGGTAAGATCAAGGGTAAGTAAAAATGGGCTGTGGGCCTGGCATGGGTGGTAGAGGCAGGTGCATTTCTGTGAGTAGAAGGCTGTGTGGGACAGCATAGTGAACAAATGAAACAGAACACATGGGTGTGGGGTTGCTCACCTCTCTGCCTCCTCTATAACAGGTTCCCTTGGCATTGTCAGTGTCCCTCTAACAGCTCCCTGTTCTGTCAGGTCACCCGATTTGATGAAAGCAGCAGTGTCAAATGAGGACTCAGGTATCTTTTTGTTAAGAAGTTTCTGGTGCACAGAAAACCTTAAGTTCCAAGTTCTATCAGCTGGGTGATCCACATGACTGCAGTCAGTATTTCCCTGTAAGTCCTCACCCACCCACCCTACATGACTGTCTCTAGATATGGGGGGGAGCAAGCACCACAAATTAAAAATATTTGTTTTATTTCATTTATTTAAATAAATATAAATATAAATTTTATATAAAACTATTCACATCCGAAGGGACTTCCAGAGACTTGGATTTAAAATTCTCCCCCATGAAAAATTTCAGAAAAGCAAGACCTACAGAGTTTAACTCTATATTAATGGCAACGTCAATGGTTTCATTTTAAAACAGCAACAAAAACAATGAAGAAACCCCTGATCTGATCAAGTTCTGGAAAGACAAGGGTGACAAATGACATGTGGTTTCAACCCATTCTCCCTCCCCATAGCGTATTAAACTTAAATCAATCCTGTTTTTCCTGTTATATGAGACTGATTCGAATTCTAGATTATTTACATTAGAAACAAACATTAAGAAAAAAAAAAGATCCATAACTCCGAGTAGAGTCCCAAAGAGTCAAGAAGAAGCTTCAAAGTCGGGTCCAGCTTTGAACTCTCTGGACTTCTCTGAGCTCCTTTACTAGATGAAGGCAAAGCACTAGAACTTGGGTCTCTGTGCTGACGCCGCAGGGGCTGCCGGGAGCAGGGAGCCTGGTGAGGAAGCATCTTCCTTTACAAGGGAGAAATCTCCTTGTCTTCGTTAGCCGAGGCTGGGGACAAGGAGTCCTCGTCCTCCGAGCGCGCATAATGCGCCTGGCTACCCACGCACTTGCAGCTTGCGTGACTGTTCCTCGAAGCGCCTTTCCCCTCCTTCTTGTGCTTCACGCGACGGTTCTGAAACCAGATTTTCACCTGCTTCTCTGACAGGTTCAGGTACGTCGCAATCTCGATCCTCCGGAGTCGGGACAGGTACATATTGGAAGAGAATTCTCGCTCCAGCTCCAGGAGCTGCGTGCTGGTAAATGCTGTCCTCATCCTTTTGCCGTTGGGTACCTGGCTGGTGTCAGAGCCTCCTACAGACCCAAAAGAGAGTAGAGATGAGGTGCAGGAAAGGTATCCCCTACCCTACTTGTCAACTATAGGAAAGGACGGGTCTCTAGAACCCAATCTAACCCAACACAGTCATGCTCGTCCCAGTTTCTCATTCTGTGGCCTCTCTGGGAGGGAGAGAGCCATCCCGAATTCAGGCCTCCAGTAGGCTCTGCATTTTAAGTTAAAGGACTAAGAGCGCACTGGGACTTGCACTCCTCTGCTGGCCTTCCGTCCGCCTATTGAAGAGGAAGCTGCTAGCAGCCTCACCCAAAGTCATAGAAACCCTTTAACCAGCCAGGATGGTAAGAGGCCATCCTGAGATTCAAAAACACCCACCCCAAACCTTAGTTAGTCAACCTCTGGTTTCTCTGAAGTCACCATCCAGGTGCCCAAAGCCTGGATAACACACGACACTTGTGCACCTGTACCGCGAAGTGCATAAGGCCTCATCCAAGAGGTTGACAAGTTAACCTCCACCTCCATGGAATTTCTGGGGACGATCTCAATAGTTCCGCGAAGTCCCACCTCCCGCCACACCCCATCCTCGGGTTCGCACCTCCTCCCCTCACAGCGCAAAGTTTGTTCCCCGGAGGTGCGCAGGTATCCAGGGACCCCGCCCTACCCATGGTGAGGCAGTGGAACCTGCGCGGGTCCGACACGTTGTAGGTGGTGGCGGCGGCGCAGACAGGTGCGTGGTGCTGAGGGTGTCCCAGGGCCGCTGCGGCAGCCGCCGCAGCTGCAGCCGCCGCCGCCGCCGCTGCCGCTGAGCCCGGCTGCTGGGGCTGGTGATGGTGATGGTGGTGCTGAGGTGGGTGGTGGTGATGGTGTGCGTGGCTCACCCGTGGGCAGAACTGTGGGTCCCCAGGACCGGAAGAGAACTGGCTCTTGAGCAGAGGTAGGGCGCCCGTGCCCCCAGCCGCCCCGCCGCCCGCCACCGCAGCCCCTGCGGTCCCATTAGCCCCGCCACCGGCTCCTGCGGGCGGGCGCGAGGAATGCAGGTGCGAGGTGACGCAAAGCGGGCACACGCAGAAAGCGCCGCTTTTGCGGGACGGGCAGCCCGGCCCCGACACCGACATCACTAACGGGGACGGCATGCCTAGTGGGATGAAGAAATCCGGCCCCGGGTGCGACTCCGGCAGCGGGGGTGCGGGCCGCGAGGAGTCCTTGATGATGAGAGAGTCCACATAGAAGGAGCGCGACATGTCGACGGGAGATGGATGACTTGTCCTGCAGGCCGCGGCGTCCCCTCGCCTTTCGAGATACGAGCTCTGCCTAGGGAGCTGGGCGGACGCGGGCGGTCAGGCCCTCGGGGACGCTGAGGTGTCGGCGTCTGGGACTCGAACAAAGGGGTCCCTGGAGAAGGTTGGTCCTCGCGTCCCCCGCCTGGCGCCCCGGCTCCAGGATTTTATAGCCCCCACCCCGGCACGTGATGCTGCAGAGTACCGCTCAGCTCAGGCTCCTCCGCAGCTCCCCACCCTCGGGATAGGCTGCCCGAGTCACAACAGAAGCAGGGGGGGGGGCGGGCAGGGAAGAATGCGGGGGAGGGGGGAGACTTTGCAAAGTGTAGAGTTTGTTAATTTGCTGGGGGATCGACCTCCTCTCCACCGCTCCTCCACCCTCTCTGCAGAAAATCCCAGCGGTACACCCTCTGTCCTGCCCTCTTCCTGGCTCTGTCCAACTTTTCACCGCGACGCGACGCAGAGCTCACCAGGTGGGGACTGCCAGGACGTTTAAACTGGGGTACCCAATGCTTCCAAGCTCCTCGGTGTCGACCCTGGCTGCACAGTAGAGCTTGACACTTCTGCTCGGAAGGAGGGTGTGTGATCCTGGAGTGGCGGTCGGTCGGCCAGTCTAATCCTCACCACACTCATACCTGCCCTTGCTCCCCAGGTTTTAGACTTGGCCAAGGTCATTCACACTGGACCAGTCTGGCGGGTAACTTTCAGGCTGAGAAACAACGCTCCAGGTCGGTGCTACATCAGGTCCCAAATGCTTTTGTATTGGGGGATCTCTTGCGGTCAATCAAACCAACGACCCTTTCTTGAGCATCTTTCTAATCAGCAGTTCGGCCTTCAGTAGAGAGGGCCTGAGGAGTCGGCCTTTTCTTATTCCAAGCAGTTACATAGTTTACAAGCTCAACCTACAAACTCCACGCAAAAAAAATTGAGAAAACCAAAAGCAGTCTTTTTGGAGACTGGAGTAGGAGCTGGAGGAGGCCTTCGGTCTAAGTCGAGCGATCTCTTGTTAATACCACCCCACTCTTCTCAATAGCGATGCTCTTTGCATCCTCAAGTCCTAAAGTGAAAGAGAATAGAGCCAATTGGGGCATCCGGCCTGTGTCTGTGAGGAGTGCCGTGGTACCAGAACCCCACTTCTGTGGACCAGCGACCTGGGGTAGCCCCACACCACCGCTGAGGCTCTTAATTTTGGGGGAAGTCAAGGCAGCAAAGGTGACAGCACTTTCTTCCCTGTCCTTTTGCTAAAATGGCTAACTTCCAGTGTAAGTTCATAACAGTGACAAAAAAAAAAAAAACTTGAAAACTGGATTCCCTCAGCCTGAGAATTGCTGGAGGAGTGGTTCTGTCTCTATGTTCTCTGGATTTCTCTTCCCATCTCTGTGGCCACCTCTCTCTTGCCTGATGCAGAAGTATAATTGGGTTGTAGGGATGCCCCGCTCTAGGGAGCCCAGGATTTATGGATGGCAATTAAAGTTTTATGAATTGCAGCTGAGGCTGGTTATTGAGCTATTTGAATGTGATTAGAATTCAATTAGAAAGTGGTTAGTGGACGGTGGGTCTCCAGAGTGTAAACAGACAGCTATTCCAGAAATGTGCTAATCCAACATCTTGTGACAACAATTAAGGAGTCTCAGGGCTGAGCATGGGGCCACTCACTTGTAACTACTTTTGCATCCTAAGGTTTGCCTCCACAACCTTCTAGGATGCTTATTTTCATCCAGCCCACCCAGTCAAACCCAGCTCTGTCAACCCTACTCTCTCCTTTGACTGGAGAAGATCAGATCCAGGCAGTTCCTACCCAGAAGTCCTTGCAATCCTTCTAATCCTAGGAAAAGTATTTGGAATGCAACAATTGAGAGAGGTTTGATGGCAGATTATTATTAAGATTTATTTATTTTATATATAGGGGTGTGTGTGTGTATGTATGTGTGTGTTGTCTGCGTGTATGTACATGCACCACATTTGCAGTGGGACCAGAGTTATGGATGGGTGTGAGCATCATGTGGGTACTGAGAACCAAACCCAGGCCCTCTGCAAGAGCAACAAGTGCACTTAATTGAGGCATCTCTCTAGTTCCAGAGTATTTTTTTAAGGCCTAGATTGTTCAATGTGGTTAATAGGATGGCACTTTGAGAAAATAGTCCTTTTTCCTTTCCTCTGGCTAGGTAGGTTACCAAGTATTCTCAGCAGCTTCTGGTGTGCTTCCAAGAATTGCTCTGTTCATGTTCTGGAAATGGTACTGTGTTCAGACCCATTCATTCTAGGGACTCAGTCAAGCAGGAAGGAGGTTTACATCTTACTTGGTTTATGTTGGACTATGGATACATTCAGCTTCTACTGTCAAAGGGGTCCAGGGATGGGGGGGGTTACTGAGGGCTGCAGGGGGACAGAAGCTTCCAGCTAGGGTTCCTCTGAGAGCTGGAGTGTGTGGTCTGAGAAATTTGTTCACCAGAGTCCTTTGCTAATTGCTTAGGCCCACCAAGAGCAAGTATTTGGGGGCTGTATCCCCTCCCATAACCTTTTCCCCCAGTTCTCCATGCCTGCCTTTTCCTTCCCCTTCTAGAAGGCAGCTCCACCCATGATCCCTGCCACTGCAAGCCCACCCTCCGTATCCTGGACAGAGCTGCAAACTTCTCAGAGCAAAGGAGGAGGTCACACAGGCCTTCTCCCAAGCAGGCTGGTAGACAGGCAGCATGCCCACAGTGCTTGCCCCAGCGCACAATTTTATTTCTCAGTGATTCTGTCTGATAAAATTTCATCGTCCATTAAGTAAGCCCCAAAATGAGGGCTCTTATGAGCCTATAATGAGCTCTAATTGCCAAGACTCGGGGAGCCACGTGGAAGGATTTATTTGGTATTAAGCAGTTGGGTACAGAGTACAGGCTGTTACCTTAGCCATTACTTTCATAATTCAAGGAGAAAATTAGTTCTTTTAAGGGGAGGGGGAACCCTTTGCTTCCTTCTCTTTTGCTGAGGCTGGCTGGCTTTGTCTTGCTTGAGTGCAAGGCAGTGTCACAAATTCAAAGGTGACAATATTGCTTTTCCCCATTCCCAGACAGAGCACCCTCATCCCGCCCTCAGCTTAGCAGAAAAAAAAAATCAAAGCAGCTGTAAAAAGAGCAACAGTGCCTTCTTGCCACTGGACTCTAATGTTGGGTTCCTTCCAGCTCAGCCTTGAGGCTTGACAGCTTGGATTCTAGGTTTCAAATGTTCATATAGGACTTTCCCCTGTTGCCTGTGATGGAACCCGACCCGAAACTTGCTTCCCCTTTCACTTTTCTTTCTTCCAGTTTCCTTTCATGGTCGAAGTGGCATGGCTTTTTCAACAGGCCCCAGAGTGCTGACCTGTTGATGTGCTTAACCATTCCTTTTTATTTTTCAGGCATAACCCCTACTTTGCACCTTCTCTGTATCCCCAAGGCAAGGGCTCCCCCCTTCCATTCTCAGTTTTTTTTTTCCTGCCCTCTCTGGTTTAGCATTTGTCTCTATAGTTCTCCAGCTACAAATCGAGTCTGCAAGTAGAGCCGGACAGCCAGGGAGTTGGCTGGGCTGCTTTGGATTTATTTGCTCCTCTTACATTGATTTCATATTAGTTTCCAAAGCGATGAATGATCTCAAAGCTGGGTTTTGTTAGCCGAACACAAACAGGAGACAGGACTTACTTGCCCCCAGCTCCCTTTAATGAGGTCATTATCAAAGCGTGAACAAGTCTATGAATGTTTTATTGAAAGAGCATCGTTAACTTGTATCCATCCTTTTCTCCAAGTGGCATTGTGATATTGCTGTCTGTGGCACATCTTACCCGATATAGCCCGAGATTTCCCCATTCTCTGTAACCAGGCAACCCTTTCTGAATACCCAAAAATTGAAAAGAACCGCTTAGTCTTCAAGAAAGTCCTCAATAATAGTGGAAAAGAACAAAGATCCAGGAGACAACAAAATGCCACAGGGGTGACTTCTCATGAGCAATTATCTCTCATTAATCAGAAGAACAGCTGCAATATTAATTTTCTCTCTTTCTTCCTCTCTTTTCACAGTCCCCAACATTTGAATAATCATAAATTTTGATTTTATGAAGGAGTCACGTTTTCAGGGGCTGCAGGAAAGCAGCCACCTAGGTGAAGACAAGGAGAAATGCTCTCGCTTTATTTTTTTGTTTGGGTAAGGCTGTCAACAAAGCAAAAAATTTTTAAAAATAAAAAAAGAAAGAAATGCCAAAGAAAACGCACCCCCACCTACTTCTAGACTGCTGCTGAGAATCAAGATCCCATTCTCCTCCACCCCTCCTCCCTGCCAATACCCACCCCCCTTCCTCCCCCTGCCCAGACCCTTTCCGTAGTTTTGCTCTGAGCAGGGTGGAGGGAAATGTCCTTGGCGTCTGGCGTGGGAGTTTCAGCTGGGTTTTTGCCCGTTTAACTTGCAAACGTGAAACCAAGCGTTGTCGATCTGACCAAAGAGACACTCTTTGGGTGTAACTTGTATTGTGGCCATCAAAAGCCCTCCAGCCTCAGATGAACTGAGACGGCCATTCAGCAGAAATGGGGCGCTCGCTTTCCATTCAGGCTCTGGAGAGGCGATTGTTCGCAGAATGTGTAGCCAGAGTGGAAAACGTGGGTCGGTAGATAAGGCTGTAACCTGCAAGCGAGCTAGGGAGTGAAAGAATCTCATTAAAGGCAAGGGTGCAATTAGCAAACGCTTTCTTTCTCCCCTCCCCACCTTGAAGGCAGTGAAGTCCGGGTGAAAGGGGCAGTTTGGAGCTAGTTCCCCACATTCCTGCACTGGCTGAGTGATGGGCCACTGAAAGGCTCTAGGATGTTGCTTTTAATGTAAATCAGGACAAGCCCGATCCAGAGAGGTAACAGGTTGCTGAGGCGGTAGCAAAAGTGCTTTTGCTTCTGCCTGGTGTTTATTCAGAGTAGATGGGCCTCTGAGAAACCCGAATTCCCCTTTGTGCTCACCACAGTTGCAGGAGTTCAATTGAGCCTTCTGAGAAAGGGAGGGGCTATCTACTGAGAAAAGAGTCAAGGGGCGTGGCTCAGAATTTCAGGAAAAACTGCCTGCCTGTCTCATGGCCTTCTAGCCCTAGGAACAGAGTTTTGATGGC